CCCTCGGCGGGAGTGCCACTGCGCTCCCAAGCAGCACACTGTAGCAGTGCGCCACCGGGCCAGCCCCATTGGGCATTTTTTAGTCATGAAGAATTTTAGTTTTAACAAGCATCCCGTGTGATTTCAAAATAGATGTTCCCTACAACATTTATGCCATTCCTCTCATTTCTATAGGTGAAAAAAATCTTCCATTCTCCTCTTTCGTTGACAGGATTTTCGGGTAATTATCACATTTCTTCTCTGTCTCTCTCCGCTCACTGTGGAATTAGGAAATACTGTTCTGATTGATCTCTTTCATTTCCATGATGACTAGAATTTTAGATCATTAGCTGAGACCTCGGGAACAGTATTCTATATTTTCTCATTCTCACTGTTTGCTTTGCAGACTGGTAAGAAATAGCAGAGCTCCCCCTTCCTCCCTGTCTCTTTTCAGTAAAACTAAGACGCTGCAGGAGAACTTCCCTCGGTGGAGACTGGAGGAGAGATGACTAATCCCACCCTGCACTTCAGCTCTGACCGTAGACCCCGGCATCGGCTGGTTATTGAATGAGTGCCTCACCATTAATAAAGCCAAAATTCTGATCTTTATTTAGCTAGTGATACATGTATTTCTAGTTGTTAGAATCCAAAAGGCAAGAACAATGTATTTCAGATTTTCTAATGTCTAATACTTTACTAGATCAAATCAGGCCGTGTTCATATTTGCTTATTGAAACACAAAACAGTGTCATAATAATGACGAGATAGATACCCAATCTGCAATATACTAGAAACCATAAATATATTTTGAATAAGAATATTTAAATAGAGATTTTAAGTATATTTTAATAAAAGACATTTTGAGAAATATTAAACATTTCAGATGTTGCAATATACTTGTGAATTAACTTTACGTCTACCTTCACATATGGGAATGTCATTGGTCCATCCGTCTGGTTCACATTCACGGAAATTGATACTACCCAGCATTTGATATCTGAAAACCCAAAAGTAACATAGCGGTGAGGTAATGTGTGTTTATATACAATTTCAAGCTTAGAACCATTCTGAACGTCTGCAAATTCCATTTCAGGGAAAATTAACAACATATGCATTTTTCCTTCTCCCCCCCCCCTTTTTTTCTTGTTTTTCTTTCTTCTTGTTTTTCCTTTCTTCCTCCCTCCCTCCCTCCCTTCCTCTCTTGCTTAGATTTCTTATATTTTTCTTTCTTTGTCTCATTTTTCCTTCCTTCCTTCCTTCCTTTCCTTCCTTTTTCCCTCCTTCCCTCTCTCTCTCCCTTCCTTCCTCTTTTAGATTTCTTGAATCTCTCTCTCTCTGTGTCTCTCTCTCTGTCTGTCTCTCTCTCTCTGTCTCTCTCTCTGTCTCTCTGTCTGTCTTTCTGTCTCTGTCTCTGTCTGTCTGTCTCTCTCTGTCTCTCTGTCTCTCTGTCCGTCTCTCTCTCTCTCTCTTCCTTTCTTTCTGACCTGTAGGACCTCTACATGTGCATGGGCTTGGAATAATCCTAATCCTTAGTTCATGGCAAACACATTATTATTTCATTCACAATATTCACTTTTTATTGTCACTTAATTAGTTACATTCAATAATATAATAAGCTCTATGAACTATCACCAAAACAAAAGCTGAAACGGGATAATAACCACCAGCTAATCATATGTTCCTCCCTTCCTCAGTCTCAGGCCATATCTGTATTATTGCCCTCCACAGTTCTGATATTTTCTGGACACTTCTGTCTTTCTACTTAACCAAGGATACTTCCAGAGTGGGCTCAACCCATCCAACGTTGGGCTTATGTAATGATAGTAACCAATCGAGCCTTCCCCTTGAATCCAAAATGCTCTATGCCAATGTAAGTTCCCAGGGGCAGGTGCAACATGTGAAATCACTGCCAGAGGGTTCAATATTACAATGGATGATACAGGACAAATGTTTTTTCTCTAAAAATAAATAGTGGGAAGATGTTTTGATAACCACAAGAGAGACATTTCTTAGAAAGGGCCTTTTATCAACTTCTAATTAGTTTCCCTTATCTGCAAATAAGAATTGTTCTAGTTATTACACGAGTAAAACATTCTCCTTCAAAAAATGTTTTGTCTTTTATTGTTGTTGATTTATTCTTCATCCTCTAAGGGAAGAAAACGTTTCAGTAGACTAAATGTTAGTCACAGAGCAAGAACTCCGGCATTGACTGCATGCCTCTGTGATGTAGAGAGAGAAGAAAAAAAGATTGTCGTTAAGCTAGTTCTCTAGCTCCTCTATTAGGCATGATGTACCCCCTTCCAACAAAGAAAGCAGAAGTCCTGTTCAAATTTTTCCATTTATATCAAAGATTCATCCATTCTACAAAGTTCTTTCAGATATTTGGCAAAATTCTCCACAAAGCCTTCCAGGGCCTGGATACATGAGGAGAGGGAGGCGAGAGAGAGAGTCCGTGGTTGTGGAAAAGCAATGGCTCGCGTCTCTGCAAACCAGACAAGCCAAATGCTGGAGGAACTTTCGGTAGAGCATGTTCTCAAAACCACTTACCCACAGCATAATAAAACTGGATGTCCACATTGAATATCCTGTTAATTGGCTGATATTCAACTAAAGAGATATTCAGCAGAGGAATACTGGACGGGGAGAGGGATTCGAAAAGGGTAAATTGACTGGCAGAAACCATGGGTGTATTAAACCTATGCTACCATCAGATTCCATAACTGGGTCAAAAGATTTACATTCCCTCAGACAGGTAAAAGCCTCCCTCAATAAAATTTTAAAATAGCATAAAATACTTGTGTTTGCTGATCTGAGATGATCTGAGGACTATATTTCACTGACAAATACCTAACTCAGTTGAGTGGTAGGAGACAGTTGCTTTCATGGAGGGGCCACAACAGAGTTTACCCACGAGACACACGAGATGAACAGGGAGAGAGAAGTTGAGCACAGCCAGAGTCAGAGGCAAGTGTGCAGCTAATTTCTTTCCAAAATTATAAATAATATGAATAGCCGAGATTTAGAGAATCAAGCAGAAGTCTATGAGTTTTGATCCCCTTTGCCAGGAAGTTAAAGTGGGGAGACTGGAAAGTTTAGGTCAAGATAATTGTCACCTATTTGGTTATGTGAGATAAGATCAGTAGTAATGACTGAAGGTTGGGCTATAAACGCGTTTGAAAAAGCTCCCTCAGTTAGTGGCCAAGGAGAGACTAAATTCCTAAGAACTAATACTTATTAGGTGTCTACAGTGTCCCAGGATTTCTTCCAAGGGCTTCAAGTGCGTTTCTTATTTATTTCTCCCACCAACCCCACAACTCACCTGATATGTTTCTGCTTTTGTAACTGAAGATATGGGAGTGAAGAGAGATTTTTGAAAATAGACAGAGATAGTAAGTGACAGAGTTTCTAAAGGCATGCTTGGTCCAGAGCCCGAGCTTTAAAGTAGTATAGTTTTATTGCCTCAAATCAAAAAATAATCATCATCATCATCAGATTCCATTCGTAATCTCTGGATTGTACTTATATTTATGTAGAATAAAATTCTAGTGATCTGATCCTGGTTTTCCTATGTGTGAAACTTCCTTAAATATAATGTTTTGACCTTGTAGGGAATAAGAGGAAAGAACGAACACTCAGGAGGTTCAGTGATGACATTAGTCGTGAGAACCCAGTGGTTAGTCCGAAGGCACACAGTCTAATTCTGAAAGAGTAGCATTTTTGGTCCATGTGCTAAAAATAATTTGCTGACCACATAATCTTAAGGAATAGCAATTACAAATAAAACTTATAAGCAAGTAAAACCTTGCTTCCCTTAAATTTTATAAAGTTTTGTCTGAATAGTTACCATATAATTTTGTCATAATTCCCATTGTCGCTAACACATTGTACTTCGAAATACTCTGCACATAAGAGGACGTACTGAAGATTTGCTGGGTGCACACGTATTCAAGTACATACTGTTTTTCATCCTCCCATAACTACACTAGATCAGGGTAATTATAATTCATTTTCATTTATTAATGCTATGGAGAGAATATGATATCCAAATATAATTATTTCCAGCATAGTTAATTTTTCAGTTTACTTGTATATTACCTATAAAAATGTTTATAAGAAATATAGTAACTTTATACAATAAAAATACAAATTAGTGCAGTTCCTGTTTATGATATCAATTATAAACCTCTTTTTATATTGACTACCTACCCTTCTTCACATGTATAAACAACCTTTGCACCATATTCAAACTTATCTCCTTCTGTGAGCTTAAAGGATCCAAAGGGAGTATCTCCAGGATGTCCGCAGGGCTTTTCTAAAGTAAAAAAAATAAAGATATAATGTTAGTTGTAGTATAACACAGTTAATACAGCAAACGTACTTTATGTAGGAGTTGGGGAACAATTGGATGTTGTATTCAAAGACAGTGTTGAATATAAGGAAAATTGAGAATGGCAAACCTATTATTTTATAATTGAACTTATCTGTATGCTTGATTTTGGAATTTTGGAGGATTATGACACCTTTTTAAAAATGATGATGCACTGTTTTGCATTGAAATGATGATAGTGATATAATTCAGCCAGTATTGCTATGATATCAAAATTAAGTATTTTCACAATAAAATTTTTTATAAATTTCACAAACTTATGAAGTACTTACTCTGACATATCCTTGATGGATGAAGAGCCACCCATTCTCCATTCCTGCATACCATTAAAATAATTCCAAGTGTTCTATATCCAGGGCGGCATTTATAGGTAGCCTGAGTGCCCTCTGGATATGTTTGGTCCTGCCAGGAACCTGTGAGAATTTCTGTACTTTTTCTTGGAGGAGGTCCTTTACAGTCTACAAACAATAAAAACAAAATAACTGCTTAAATTATCTATTCAAATATACAGTATATTTAGGTTATTTTTGCTTTTAAAAGCACCTATATAGTTATAGTCTATCCAAAATATATCTTAATGTATATATAATATATATTTCAGCTTACAAAAATCAAACCAAATAATTTTGTATGAATGTCCACTATGTAAAAATAACCTAAACAACTTTCCAGATGAGTAGATGCACTTTATATTATTCTTAATAATATAATAATTCTTATATTATAACAATAATAACATTATAATTATTGTCAATAATATAATAAAATTGCTGAACAGCATTCTACTATCCTTTCATTACTTGAGGAAACATTTATTGGGCACTATTCTAAGTTCTGAAGAAAAAACAATGAAAAAAACAAAATGCCCATCCTTAAGGCGTTTTTACTGTGTGATAGAAAAGTTAGTTACTAATGGTTAGTAACTCAAGTAGTAGAGTTAGGTAGATAAATTCTATTTATAAAAATAAAGCATGGTAAGATGATACAAAATTATATGGAAACATTTCAAATAGGTTAGAACAGGATGGAACAGAACAGTGTCTCTACTGCAAACTGGAAAACAGCAACAAATTGTATGTTTGTGTGCTTGCGTTGAAAGGCAAGTTGCGGGATAAAAAGGATTAAATGAACTAAATCTAAGTGGAAGAGCTTGTTGTATGCAAATATATGGTTTCTGGCCATTTCTTACCTGGTTTTCTTTGCCAACTCAGGATATGGATTAAAGATCAAGCTTTCCTTGAATGGAGGAAAGGTAATGAGGAAAGGAAGAACTAGACCAACGTTTGGAAGTTGTGTCGAACTTGAAAATTTTAAAACTTTGCAGAATCAGGGTGCTCAGCTGGAGCCTAAGTAGCTTCTTAAGGACAGACTAAAATTTTCCATAGTCTCATAGAAAAAGTCCCCAAAAGCAAAAGGGACTGCTTCAAATACCCACCTGGTATCCTCACTAGAAGATTTGCCATATTTGTTTTTTTATTAACATATTCATTATCACAAATTGTAATTTCTCTTTATGCCCTTTATCCAAAATATCACTCCCCAACTCCCTCCCCTTCCTCCCCCTTCATCTCTAGTATCCTTAGGTTTGTTCTCTCCTTCTGAAAGTTCAGCACGTTATTGTGGTCTTTTCTTTCTTTCCTACTTTCTTTCTTTGTTTCCTTCCTTCTTTCTTAGCACCCAGTTACGAGTGAGAACATGCAGTAATTCTCTTTCTGTGTCTGGTTTATTTCACTTAACATAATTTTCTCCAGGCTCATCCATGTTGCTGCAAATAGCAGAATTTCATTCTCTTTTTCTGGCTGAGTAGCATTCCACATTTTCTTTATCCAGCCATCTGTCAATGGACATTTAGATTGGTTCCATTTTGGGCTATTGTAAATACAGCTACAATGAATATTGGAGTGCAGGTGTCCCTTCAACATAATGTTTTCTATTCCTTTGGGTATATATACAGTAGTTGGATGGCTGGATCACTGGATTATGTGGTACCTCTACCTGTATTTGTTTGAGAAACCTCTATAGTATTTTCTATAATGTCTGTACTAATTTATAGTCCCACCAACAGTATAGAAGAATTCCTCTTTCCCTGCATCCTTGCCAGCATTTGTTATTCTTGGTCTTTTTAATAATGGCCATTCCAACAGGGGTGAGATGATATCTCAATGTGGTTTTGACTTTCATTTCCCTAACGATTAGTGATATTGAGCATTTTTTCAAGTACCTGTTGGCCATTTGTATGTCTTCCTTAGGAAATGTCTATTCAGCTCATTTGCCCATTTTTTAAGTGGATTATTTGGGGGTTTTTGTTGTATAATTGTTTGAGTTCCTTATAAATTCTGGATATTAATCACCTGTTGGATATATAGTTTGTAAATATTTTCTTCCATGCCATAGGTTGTCTTTCTGCCCTGCTGATTGTTTTCTTTGCTGTGCAGAAGCTTTTTAATTTGATATGTTCCCATTTGTTTATTTTTTTCTTTTGTTGTTTGTTGTTTTGAGGTCTTATTCATAAAGTCTGCCCAGTCTCACTTCCTGGAGTGTTTCCCCTATGTTTTCTTTTCCTAATGGTATGGTTTTGTGTCTTATATTTACATCTTAAATCCATTTTGAGTTGATTTCAGTGTACGATGGGAGGTACAGGTCCAATTTCATCTTTCTGCATATGGATGTCCAATTTTCCCAGCACATTCTATTGAAGAGGCCATACTAATGGTTAGTAACTCAAGTAGTAGAGTTAGGTAGATAAATTCTATTTATAAAAATAAAGCATGGTAAGATGATACAAAATTATATGGAAACATTTCAAATAGGTTAGAACAGGATGGAACAGAACAGTGTCTCTACTGCAAACTGGAAAACAGCAACAAATTGTATGTTTGTGTGCTTGCGTTGAAAGGCAAGTTGCGGGATAAAAAGGATTAAATGAACTAAATCTAAGTGGAAGAGCTTGTTGTATGCAAATATATGGTTTCTGGCCATTTCTTACCTGGTTTTCTTTGCCAACTGTTAATTCTTCCAAGCCAAGATCATGGTAGATCTTATCATCTTTTTTATGTCCTCTTTAATTTCTTTCAGTAGTGTTTTGTAGTTCTCATAGCAGAGATCTTTCACCACCTTGGTTAAATTGATACCTAGATGTTTTACTTTTTTGGCAACTATTATAAATGAGCTTACTTTCTTGATTTCTATTTCTGTTAGCTCATTATTGGAGAATATAAGTGCAACTGATTTGGGGGCATTTATTTTGTATCCTGAAACATTAACGAATTTATTAACCAGCTATAGGAGTTTTTTGATAGAGTATTTAGGTTTTTCTCTATATAGTATCCTGTCATCTGCAAATAGGGACAGTTTGACTTCATTTTTCCAATCTAGATGCCCTTTATTTCTTTTTCTTGCCTGATTGCTCTGGCTAGTATCCCCAGTACTATGTTAAATAGAAGTGGTGAGAGTGGCCATCCTTTTCTTGTTCCTGTTCTTAAGGGAAAAGACTTCAGTTTTTTCCCATTCAGAATGATACTGGTGGTGGGCTCGTCACAGATAGCTTTTATTGTGTTGAGATACTTCCCTTCTATACCTAATTTGTTGAGAGTCTTTATCATGATGGGATGTTGAATTTTGTCAAACACTTTTTCAGCATCTATTGAGATAATCAAATGGTTTTTGTCCTTGAGTTTACTGATGTGATGTATCACATTAATTGACTACCATATGTTGAACCATCCTTGCATCACTGGGGTGAATCCCACTTGATCACAGTGTATAATTTTTTTACTGTGTTGCTGTATTCTGATTGCTAATATTTCATTGAGGATTTTTGCATCTATGTTCATCAAGTATATGGGCCAGTAATTTTCTTTGTTTGTGTGTGTGTGTGTGTGTGTGTGTGTGTGTGTGTGTGTGTGTGTCTTTATCTGGTTTTGGTATCAGAGTTATGTTGGCCTCAAAGAATGTGTTTGGGAGAATAGCTTCTGTTTCAATATTTTGGAATAGTTTGAAAAGAATTGGCATTAATTCCACTTTAAAGGTTTGATAAAATTCAGCCGTAAAGCCATCCAGACCTGAGCTTTTCTTTGTTGGAATATTGCTGATTACCACTTCAATCTCATTGCTTGTTATTGGTCTGTTCAGGTTTTCTACCTTTTCTTGATTTAGTCTGGGTAGTTTGTATGTATCCATAAATTTATCCATATCTCCCACATTTTCATATTTGTTGTCACACAGTTTTTTATAATAGTTTGTAATGATTCTTCATATTTCTGTGGTATCAGTTGTAATGTCTCCTTTTTCATTTCTGATTTTTGCTATTTGGGTTTTTTCTTTTTTTGTTAACTAGCTAATGGTTTGTCTATTTTATTTATCCTCTCATAAAACCAACTTTTTGTTTCTTTGATATTTTTTTAACACTTTTTGAGTCTCGATTTAATTTACATCTGCTCTGATCTTAATTATTTCTTTCTGTCTACTACCTTCAGGAGTGGATTGTTGTTTTTCAAGTACTTTGAGGCATGATGTTAGGTTGTTTTGAATGGAATGTTTTCCATTCTTTTGATGTAAGTATTTATTGCAATAAATTTGCCTCTTAGTACTGCTTTTGCATTATCCCACAGGTTTTAGTATGATATATCTTTATTTTCAATAGTTCAAAGAAATTTTTTGATTTCCTGTTTAATTTCTTCTTGGACCAGTAGATCATTCAGGGGCCTATTGTTTAGTTTCCATGTATTTGTACAGTTTCAAGGGTTTTGTTTTTTATTGATTTCCAGCTTTAGACCATTGTGTTCTGAAAAGATACTTGGAATGATTTTGATTTTTTAAAATTTGCTTAGATTAGATTTGTGACTCAGTATCTATTCTATCCTGGAGAATGTTCCATGTGCTGTTGAGAAGAAAGTATATTCTTTAATTTGGGGGTGAAATGTTCAGTATATATCTGCCAGGTCCAGCTGGTCTAAGGTCTAGTTTAAGTCCTGTGTCTCTTTGTTGATTTTTTACATGGAAGATCTGTCATACTGAGAGAGTGGAGTTCTGGTCACCCACTATTAATGTATTAGGGCCTATTTCTTTCTTTAGGTCTAAGAGTTTTTGCTTTATATATCTGGATGCTCCAGTATTGGGTGCATATATGTTTATGATTGTTATGTCTTCTGGCTGGATAGATCCTTTTATCATTATACAGTGGCCTTCTTTGTCTGTTTTTATATTTTTTTGGTTTAAAGTCTCTTTTATCTGATATAAGAATAGCTACTCCTGCTCATTTTTGGTTTCCATTTGCATCTTTTTCCATCCCTTCACTTTTAGTCTGTGTGTCTCTCTACAGGTAAGGTGTGTCTCTTGAAGACAGGATATACTTGGGCCTAGCTTTTTAATCCAATCAGTCAATCTGTGCCTTTTGGATGGGGAGTTTAATCC